TCGTAGCGTAGACGTGACGTGATACCGCGCCGACACGCGGCGAATGTGGTGAGTCAAATCACTATTCAAGGGGCACAATGTTATAGTTGAACTTACATATAGTAAGTAGTATTCAGAACTCATTACGACACTCAATAAAATATCTGCTACAATTCATGTCCTTGCATTCATACAAGAATCCACGAAGTTATCGTAATCTGTTTTACAGTACTATTATTATACTAAATTGTAATATACTGTCTTCAGTTTGACGCGGTCATTATTTATACGTATAGAATATAATAGAATAGAAAATCATTTATTCAAATAAACTTAATTTAAGCACTTTTGAATAGTCATAGGTATCATTCTTTTAATCTACCACTCATTCGGAAAGCTGTCTTATCACAAGAAGAACGAGCAAGACACTTGCGTGTTGCTCTTTTAAATCATAATCACCAACTAGCATTAATTTATTAACTTCAGATATTAAGTACAGAATAGGATTAAAACAGTCGTAGTGATTAGCGCAGATCAGTCCGTACAAGCAGCACTTGTTCACGAGTATAACGTATATAATTAGGAAAATCAAGGGATCTTACTACGTTTTATTTATTTTTATTGAGTTTCCGTGATTTTTCCTAGTATGTATAAATTATAATAAATGTACAAGTATTCATATCATATAGAAATTATTACCTATTCGCAAATATAATGATCTAAGTAGGCGTTCTGATTAATTATTAATTGCTTCGATATAAGATACCTTATAAGGTATATAATTAGAATACGTAAAAAGACTCCTGTTAGAAGTAGATATTTGTCTACTTAATGAAATGTATGTACTTTATGAAGAAATAATTAGTTGAATACATTTGGTAATTTATTACTGTTGCATGTTACTTATATATGCTATGTACGCGTAATTTATGGCCCTTGTATATATCAATAATAATAAGGAAATAAATATAAGTACCTATTACTGAATTAATGAACATATAACAAATGAGACATATAATGTAAATTCATAAGACACCAATGCCTTCTATAAACACTGATATATAATAGTAAAATCACCAAGTAAAACGAATACTGGAACGGAATAATTAAATATTGCAACATATTATGTAGGTACCTATAGCCTATATAATGCCTCACTGTTAATGTTGTCGTCCCGGGAACTCATCCGAGCAGTCTAAGCGGCGGTCTCCAGAGGGTCCTCTCATTAACTCATCCAACTTTAACAGCCTCATAAAATAACTGAAAAGGAAACTCCGCCAGGGAAGTAAGCTGACGGAATAAAATAAAGATACAAATGCCGACAAAGTTTCATTGTCACTATATTTTGTTATCAAACCACTGCGACAAGCAGGTTTTCAATTCAACTCATTTTTTTGTTGTGCGTTTGTTTTATGTTACGCAATGTATTTGCCAAAAGTTAGAGGAGTTTAGAATCTTTTAGTTCATAACGAACGAATTTTCTTTAATAAAATATAGAGCTGATTGGTAATCTATACATATAAATAACATTGGAGTGTCTGTTTGTAATATTGAAATAACCGTTTTAACTACATGCATACGAATGTAAATACGGTATACATACTCGTACACCAAAATAACATTTTTTACTATTTTTGTCTGTCTGTCTGTTTGTTCCGGCTAATCTCTGAAATGACTGGACCGATTTTGATAGGACTTTTTTTGGCAGGTACCTGATGTAATAAGGAGTAACATTACCTTTTTTTTTAAATAAATGAAGTTCAATACCACGCGGGCGAAGGAAAAATAAGGAAATGTACAGCTAGTATTTAAAAAAATTGAAGAGTAAGTAAACATGGTAGATAATTTTTATATACAACACTATATCACTATATATATTATGAATACCTACGAATTGTAGTTTAGTGATGTATAACGTTATTAAATTATGAAGTTAATACATCTAACATGATAATAAATTGTTGAGATTAATTGTTTCAAGTCATTAAGGTACATTTCTATTTATATAAACAAATAAATCTGTTTTCTAGCACAATATATCTTTAAATTTCTTTGCACATTACAATATAAAAAAATATAATACATTAATACGTTTCTTATATAACCTAAATGTCCATTGTCTATTCAGCTTAGGGTTCTAACCTTAAAACACTTATCCTGATATGAAGAAATTAAAAATCTCGTATAGTACACTAAATTGGCTGTTTATCGATCGTTACAATATTTCACCAATTTTTGTAAATCAAAACCCATAGAAACTTGTACCACCATGAAAATTTCCTAGAAAAAACACTAACTCGTATTTATACAGTGATCCTCGTAGGGTTGGCATTCCTCATTCAGCTGCCCTTCAATATTCTCCACAAGCACTTCGGTCCCTATAACACTAGACGTCAGTCGTAACTCAAGTCCCGAGGTTACGTAACGACTTTGGAATTCTAATGATGTAAACCTGACCACAAGCAATCCATCAAACCACAGACTAGGCCAGGAATTACATGAGTAGAATCCATCATCTTATCCAAGATAAGAAGTAACCGATGTTCTAGAGAATGTCTAACATATGCATATTAGACAATGTCTAAGACACATAACGTTCTCAATAATCCTAAATACACAATTTTAAATATTAAAAAATAATTATAGATTATTAATTAATTATTTCTTGTTGTATAGCTATAATTGAATTTTAACCATTTTTAAATCATACATACCCTTACAGAACAATGCCCAATAAGTGTTATTCTCTATAAATTAATATACTCAGACTTAACTTTGTGTGCTTTGTTTATTTAGAAAGCATCTCCTCAATATCTTCATTCAATAAATACATAAAAAACCGTTAAGATTAATTCAGAGATATTGACAAACAAACACACACAAATTTATAATAATAGTACAGATCCTCTGGGTTTACAATTTAGTATTTACTTATGTATTATAAGTATAAGAAATCTTATTACTATCTTTTGTCACAACTTTTTTTAATTAATTATAGTGGAAGGACTGCCATGTTACTACCATAAAACTTACCAAGTGCCGCCCACATCTTTTCTCCGTCTACGACATTACCTATTCATCACTACGCACGTTGAAAAGCATTCGCTACGTTCACATATATCTCCCTCTTCATAGGTCCCTCAAAGAGATCGGACATCATTTTTCTCCGGCGCCATTAGAAGCAATCGGTCAGCCGAGATAGATATGCGGTCCGCACAAACATAAACAAACTAATGGCTCCCATCTAGTGACAAAGAACTTTACATCACGGCCCAAAGCCGGCGAATCAATACAGATCGCTATGAACCGATCAGCCTTATCCCCTGTTTGATTTGCCGCCACCAATTCGGCCTACGTCATTGCAAGATAGTTATCTTAGGATTCATCTTCTGAAGTGTTCGCCATATATATGACTCCCTTTGTGAATTGGAGCAGATTGTTCTTAATGCATGCATTGAAACTAATCTCGTCAGAATGTATAATGCATGTCTATTGAGGAACCACAATTACTGCCTGTTACAATTACCTGTGATGTTAATTCACGCGACTAACAAGCATGCCGTGAATTGCGTGAAATTAGTTCAGGCACGCGTATATAGAGAAGGTATTCAAAATTAAAAAAAAATACATTAATTGCCTGCTGACTAATAGAGGAAATAAAACAATATGGAGCGAAAGTAATTTCATGATATATTGGACATAGAAAATTATAATACATATAATTTTGTTAAAATACTTCTCTATTTTAGGTCATATTTATGTATAATAAATGATTATAAGAACAACGCTATTATCGTGATTTGGTTTTGTAATAATCAAGTTATTGTGGCAAATATTGTTTTATTAAAAATGCATTGAAATTTTAAAATTTTCGCCATTTAAATAATAATTAACACGTCCATAACACAATAAAAGCCATCTCTTTTGAATGGTCGCTCGCGATTAATCTGTACCAAAATTCGTTTATAGCGCAATAACTGAACAATTTGAGTTTTCACAAAATTGATACATTATCCAAACAATCTTTACTTTCGCCTAATTCAACAGTTTTTCCTGAATCAAAAAAGGAAGTATAGACTCAGAATTCCGCTTTGCGTACACTTTCAACCTGCTCTTGTTTAAATTTGGTCTGTTCTAAATTAATATCGAACATCGGAAATTAAGGACAGAGAAATTATGTTCCAATAATGCTGATACTGGACGCCGGAACTGATGGTCCAATTTATTTCGGAAGGGTTCGGCCGGGCTATTTGCATAAAGCAAAACTTTATTAATACAATAGACTATGCGGTAATGCAATGCTCATTATATCAGTACTAGACGTACACAAATAGCTTTGATTTCATTCAATAAAATGTTCAGAATTTATAATAATGTTGCTTTGTAAACGTGCCCAATTAAATTCATTTGAAATATTATTTATACTAATATTGGAGTTCTCTTTCAATTCATTTTATAATATGTATAACATTGAGGAAGTGCATTGTTAGTAATGTGAATTAGTAACCAAAGGGGTTACTGCTAGCAATATCATGTCAGGTTTACTTGCTAGCGATCACTCTGGAAACCGTTCTGGTTAATTCCTGGTGAAATGACCATGAAAGGCTGACGGACCTGACTTCATACTCATCCTATCATCTTCAAATGGCCAGCGAATACCATTAGCGTAGATAGACGTACCATAGGATCTATCACAAGATAAACTATATAAAACTTATTGTTAATGATACTACAGTTATTTAGAATTCAAAGAAATTACTACAATGACGTTTTCGTGTAAAAAGCCTTGATTTAATCAAATTTATTACAATCAATGCAATCCATTTTTCACACGATTCTACTTATTACAACTATAATTATAATTACACATGGAAAGAAACATGATTTCACTATAAACAAAATGATAGTAGTAGTAACATTCTACCAAAAATACGAGTAGTAGTGGTCATGCCACTACATATTATAGTCGGTGATAAAATCAATGACATTTCTAGTAATCTATTTCCATTATTTTTTCACAGATTGCACAACATCATCATCGTCTAATGGCTTATTAAGCGGCATCACTCGAGTCTCGGTAGCTGTGACCGGTCTAGACACACGACCTGTGCTATCCGCCAAGAAAGTGAGGCCCAAACCTGCCTCTCCAAACCGACAGGGCCCGCAACAATGTCAAGTAAGTAATGGCTACAATCATCACATGACTCTCATTCGCAATACTTAGTGTATATATACATAGATCTCAACATCTATTAGTCTACTACTAGACGTATGCCTCTCGCATAATTTTCCACTTTGTTCGATCTGTGGCGCGTAGTATAAGTAACTATACTGCAATTAAAAGAAAGCAATATACAATTTTACTTTCCCTGTCAAATGGAAATCTGAACATCTTTTTCATTTGATTTGATAATCTTCATTGATATTGTTGTTGTCAATCATAAATATAGTAAACTAGACCAGGCAATCCAATTTTAATGAAGATAAAGAGTTTGGACTCACGATAGTAAGATTTAACTAGGAAACCGTTAAGTGTTGTATATTCAATATCGCGCAATATTAGTCGTAACTAAAAATAAATAAATAAAAACGAAAGCCTCCTACCATGATAATCGATTAATTTATTTATACTGTTTATTTATGAATCCAAGAAAACAAATTCGACAATAAAAGTTGCACTGTAAATACATTAATATGTATTGTTGTTGATGATATGACGTCACGTGGTACTAAGATTATGTACAATATATTTATTAGTCATGTCTATACTTACATCAGCTATAAATATACATACATATATAATACATACATATTATATATGTAGTCTATTTATTTCTTAGTATATTTTTTTTCTCCAAAAGGACAATCCGACACGATTTACACTGTTACAATCAAACATGTCAAATTAAGAAAAAAATATTCGTTTGTGTAGAACTAGTGCATGTATTAGCTATCTTGGTATTATACCCATTAAATTCTAGTATCTCATTGAATAAAATGAGATCGTTCGCACACAGTTACGTTAGCTTCGTAAATATTTACCAATGAGTGCTCCGTAAACAGCCTAATTGGCACTTACTGCGCCCTACGCGCAACTAATCACAACTACACACAACTACAACAGGTACATTCGCAACGTGTCCTTGCTCCTCTATATATGTTTATGTATATGAATGAAAATATATATAAATGAGAATGAAATCAGATATCATATCATTATATACTCAATATAATGATATGATATCTGATTTCCTTTTCGTTCATAAACTAACAAATAAATCCATACAAATGCTTTAAATACGAAAGCAATTAAAACTAAACGATAGATTTGAGTGCAACTAAATTTCACGAGGATGAATATAGGATATCTTTTATATAGCACATACGTTTAATTTGCTATTACATCAAAGAGACAGAAAATACCTTCCTTCTCGCAAAATAAGTTAAATAGATACGGTGGTTCATATTCGTCCAATATAACCAAAGGGAATTTTACATTATCCGTCTGGCCATATTCATTTTTGTCTTTTTTTAAAGTCATTAAAAGCTCTGCTAGGGTACGAGTAGAGACCACGCCGACTTGGTTTTCTCTTTTTGGTAGCATTTCCCTTTTCGGTTTGCCGACGGCGACAATTCGACCTCAGACCAATCTCATTTATAAATGTCAACCCCACTCTAAATATATACAATAGAAGTGCCCGATAGTTGAATTGACATTTCTACGTTAACATTTCTTTGAACATTAAACTTATTACTAGATGTATTAAAACTTTAAAATATTATTTTACCGATTTAATTCTTTCTTTCTTTTTTAAAGTACGATTTCATGCACACTAACAGCAGGAGATACTTATAGTAGCGTTGTCTCATGCTCTAAATGTTCTTCATAAAACTGCATACAATGCTGACATCTCATATGTCGGCGTCTACCGTCTCGTGTCGCAGTCGCGTTCTAAAGTTGTACTTTCAGTTCTAACATGTGTAATTTTACACAACTTATATTACTTTAGTTGGTGACAAAGATATAAACTTTATAAAGGCATAAAATAGCGATAATACTTATATGAAATGCATATGCACACGATTTTTTATAAATTACACCTCCAATGTGTACTTGAAGGCATTTTGGAAATAATTCTGACTTTACTCTAATCTTAACACCATAAGGGTTCTAATGACAGCCATCTTAGATACACAGTTGATTACGACCTCTCCCAAGGTAGTCCTGTCATTGTACTAATAATTAATATAGGTAGTTGATCGGGTCTTAACACATATAATTTTATAGTTTATAGTTATTTACCTCTCCCAACGTCTCGACAAGATCCCAGTAGTCATGGTCACTGGTTGACTAAGAGTATACTGACGTCGGTAGGATATAGAATTTTGTTCAAATACCGTCATTAGATTGTTCAATGAAAGATCGCGACATACAACACTCATGTAGTAACTATATTGATAATATGTATTTACAATAGTGTGTTACAAGAACGTTTAAAAATAGCTATTGTACTAATAAGTCAGCCAACAAAAGAATATTATAGGAAAACAAAATTGTGGGTGTTTCACACAATAATAGCTTGTATTACACATACAACCAATAAAACTATATCGAATGATAGGGGCACGGAGACTCGTAAAACTGGAGAAAGGTAATACAAATACTAAAAGGCTCTGAGTGTTTCATTTCCGATCTTTTTCGTATCGGGTCACGCGACTATGTGAATTTTGCTATGCCAATGGTAAAATAAATTGCCTATAGAATGCTTACTAAATATTTTCCTTTTTTGGCGCAAACCCAATCTTGAGAAGACGTACAGGCGTGTCCATCCATTTTTCTATAAGGGAAACATTTTAACGTCGTAGTGTAATTTATAATGCTTCGCAAAGTCGAAATAATAATAACAATAAATTTAATATCATTTTAATACAAAGAACTAATAGATAAGCCAGTTAAGATAACTAACAGAAAAAGCGTAATGTTTTATTGCACTAATTAACTTTAAACCTTACCTGAACATTATTATTAACCAACATATTAACATTTTGTGCATAGATCTCATAAGAAAACATTATTTTGCCATGTTGACCGAACAAAATAGCATATAAAATACAATATACTTTAAAATTTTCTATATCCTATCACTTATTTGTTATATTTTGTGTGTTTGTTTGCTCTTAGGTTGTCTTAGTTATAGAATTACTTAGCTTTTTATTCTTTACCGTTAACACAGTAATATTATATACACATAAAATTAATAATATTTTTCGTAAAAATTATGAATAAATATTCATAATAAATTAGGCTCAATCTGGAGTTTCCTTGGTTACGATCATCCACAACTCAGCAAAATATTTTGCGGCTTCAACTCGCTCGACTGTAAATAAGATTGTCATTCACTCATTTTATTCCTTATTTACCACAATATGCTTAGTCGTATTTCAGAAGCTGTCAGTTAATTCATATTCAAGCTCTCATGAATGAACATTAAATCTCACAAATCGTCGACCCAAAAATAATTAGAAATGTACTTTACAACCCTATTTTCTATATAAGTCTAAACATAACTAACAGAATCGTTAAATACGTACCCTCTTAAAGATGGGATCGGAAACTGTGTTTGTAGGTCAGCCGAATATCAACAAAGGGATAAGGGACATCCCGCAAAGGGCGCACCCCCTCCTATACGAAATACTTAATTGCCTTTCTTTGTGTTCCCATAAATGAACTAAATGTGGATGTTATAATAGCGTATATTTTTGGAAGCTTGTTTGTTGTTCAGGTATGTCCTAGGGCTACCGAATTAATGACTGTCTAAATGAATATAATAAAGAGATTTTTTTTATTATGCTTTTTTTTTATCAGCTAAATAAAATAACATTACGTCTACTTTTTGAAATGGAGATCACTATAACAGTAATGAAGCAAATAAATGAAACATTTTGTTAACTATTCATACTAAAGGTCAGTAAATAGTTTTAGACCATTTCATATATATCGCAAGATTATTATCAAAAGAACATTTTTTTTACCCAAATATGATTTTGATTTTGTTTCTTTATAATTATTATCAACTTCATTTACTGTCAACGTCATTTTAATGCAATACATTTAAATACATTGTGAGCAACTCACACTTTATGTACTCCGAATAAAATTTATTCAGATGTAATATGATAGATAAATAAAGGGATGAGGGTGTTTGTTACAATGCGAAAGGGGACACAGTAAGAGCATGATGTGCTTATATTGTTATGACCAAATGTCACTATTGATTTCTATTGTACACATAGATAATTTGTGAAATGTAATTTAATTAGTATTTAGGATATACATGATAAGAAATCAGATTCTATTGTTCTTTAGGCGATTTAGATGTCTTGACACCAACAAATATTATAGATGTAACCTTCCGTGAAATAATTAGATCACATACTTCACAAGTTTCTAAAGATATTTTTTGCAAATTATAACAAAAAAATCTAAATCTATGTATCGTTATTTATGTAGTTCTATGACCCTTATATCATATGTCAAATGTACCGTCAGTTCGGAGTACTTTCGATCTAAGGAGAACTAACAAGAAACTCAATTCTCAAAAATACAGATTCATTTTTAATTCAATTGTAGAGATTGTAGTGACCACCAAGATATGCTATTGTAGGAAAGTAGTAGAAAGTAGGAAATAACATAATCAGTGAAAATAGACCAATCTCTACAAAAAGCAATTATTTATAATACAAAATATAAAATGCTATTTAATATAAATGTATATGTAATGACATATAATGTATTGTATGATATGGGAATTTATATACTTGCAACTTCATATATATGTACATATAATAGCAATAATTATAATTGTTTCATTATAATCTGTTTTTTTTTTATTTTAAGAGACTATCGTTACACTAGTTAGTAATTACAAAAGAATTTCGGTAAATAATTGTTATTTACCTTAAGACACATTTTCGAATCATAAGTTGATTTTAACGAACGCGATTTCCACTGATATTACTAATTGGACCGAGCTAATAGCCTGATGGTCCTTGCCAATTAAAGCTTATTGATGTCGCTTGCCGTAGATCTTCGGGCGACCCTCGTCTCGTTTTAACCCCATCTCGGTTCGCTGCTAATAATTAATCAAGCAATTAAGATGATCCGCGAAACGTTAC